GACGTATGATGCGAACCAGGAATCGAACATATCCTCTCACGGATCGATTCCTGATCGCATCGATTCGATCTCGTGCATAAATCTACCAAAACACAACATGAAATCCACCAAACAATGCAAACAATCGCATCTTATCTATTCCTTTACCCAGATAAGCCATGGCCACGTACTCACCTCGGTTCTGGAAGGGAAAAGAATGGAAAAACCACGAAGAACACGAAGAACGCGAAGAACGGATCTCCAAACCCAAAATCTTCTCCTAAATCGCGAATCTAAACCACTAGAAACGATCTCCAGAGCCTCACAAACACACACAAGAGCTTTTAGGATCAAGAACTCGAAGAAATCAACAATGATTCTTCTTTTTCTCTCAATCCTCTCACAAAACTCACTGGAATTCTCTGGAAACTTTCAGGAAAACTAAAAACTCGACCAAAACGCGGCCACCACCTATTTATATCGAAACCCTAGGGTTTCCTTAACCGATATGCCGAATCAAACGATTAAAATCGAACAACCCGGTTAAGTGTGCGTCGATCGACGCACGACCAAAATTCACAGAATTTGGTTCGCGGTCGTTACAATTCTCCCCTTGACCTCGAATCACGCAACACCGTCTCAGTATGGTTACCCTCTTGACCAAACACGGCCAGCACCACCTGAGATCATCCACCGATCCCTGAAGCTCATCTAGTCTCATACTTACAATCACGTTCGAACATTATTGCTTATCACACCCCTTACACTCTCAGGGCCGTCATCCTTTGAGCTCGGTTATATCATACCCCTCCCACCTTCTGGACCGTGTCCGTCAGGCTATCGGTATGCTCCATGCCCCTCTCACTCTCGGAACACACAGTCCGTCAAGCTATCGTCATGTAGGGAAACTCACTATCCCCCTGAGAGAAATCTCTATCCCTCAAAGTATATGCAGTGAAAATCACTATCCCCTGGAGAGAACCCCGTCCCTCAAGTATATACAGGGAAACTCACTATCCCCTAGAGCAATCAATTCTACAACATACATCATAAGCACCTGTTGACCAAATCCCTCCCGTGGTTTCATCATGATACCCCCTAAACCCAGAATATCATCACCTCCATGACCAATCTCTAGGTCATCTGAAACAACTCAATCACCAGGGTGTTCCCACTAGAGTCTCCTGGAAATAGACAAGTTCTAACTCACGTAAAACTTCCATTGCTAGACTCTCCCTAGGAAATAAACAAGTTCTAACTCACATAGAAATTTCATTCCTAGATACTCAACACCAATCACATATGACATCCCAGTCATCACACAATAACTCACATCTTATAACACTCAATAATAAGAACTTTCCATCTTATTAAACTCAAAAATGTATAAACCGTTACAGCACGAAACGAAAAATACATAACAACTCATAGCAACATGCTATT